GGTTTCATAACTGATGTTGGATGGATAGACCTATAGTTAACAAGCCCAAAATATGAAGGGTAAGTGCGCCCAATAATTTGCATGGCTTTATCAAATTGAATTGGATTAGCCTGTAGCTCTTTTCTTCCCTTATATGCATGTGGCACCAGCAGCCAGAGTTTGTTTATGCTAGTAGCCTTCATACTAACCCCATCTTGTATAATTGGCTTCTTCCACAAGGCAAAGAAAATTCCAGTCAACCTTCTGCCAAAAGCTCTTCTGCCAAAAGCTGCTCCTTCTGCATTCTTGAAGACCCCACCAAATAACCACTCTCCTTGAAACATGCCTTCTGCTCCACCTCCGGCCAAACACCAGCTGCCGGTAAAACCACCGGCGAAAGCACCACCCCTTCTTGCAGCCACCGGTGGTGATGAATCGACGGCCCTAGCAAAATTACTTTGACCAGTACCGCCTCTGTCTCCATTTCCACCGGCGAACTTACCTGGGCCACCGCCGGTAAAACCACCGGAGAAGTCACCGCCTCTTCTTATCGCCATCATTGGCGGCGACTCGGTTTCACCAGCTAGCCCGCCTCGACCATCTTTGCTTCCCTTAAACAAAAACTTGGTTGGTTTGCATGTGAACCCACGCCTAAAGCCACCTTCAAAATCGTTCACTCCGCCACCACAATCACTAGCACATATCAATCCACCTGTTAACCCACCAGCACGTCCATGAAGTCCACCACCGGACTCGCTTGCACCTGATCCGCCCTTCACCCAGCCATAGCCTTCTCTGTTCAGGCCACCACAAGCGGTGGTCTTATCACCTCGCTCATCTTTTCCATCCAAAACTCCTGGACCACCACCGGATCCACTACTATTGGCGCCACGCTTTTCGAAACATCCTCCTATTCTATCGCCTTCAAACACATCAACCTCAGCCCTTCGCACAATCCAAAGAATCACCCCATATTCGACATCGACTCCACCGTAACCCCCATCGGCAAATCCACTAGAGAAATCACCAACCTTCCTTGCGACCCTTAGTGGTGAAAATTCAATTTCAGACCTTCTTCGGCCATCTCCGCTTCACTCAAATGAAACTTTGGTGGGTTTGCTTGTGAAACCACCACCAAGGCCACCTTCAAAAACACTCACCTCACCACCAAAATCACTAGTACAGATTACCCCACTAGTTAACTCACCTCGCCCATTCGGTCCACCGTCCACCACCAGATTCGCCGGTGACTCCAGCTTGCCCTTCACGGACACCAAAGCACCCTCAGGAAGAAAACTTCAGTTGGTTTGTCTGTAAAACCTTCCTCACCCTTCCTCTCTGTGCCCACCATTGCAACGCCTTGCTCGGCCGAGGGTTTGGATTCCAGATGGCCTTTCTTCTCCTCAGCCCTCTCCCTTTCCGCTGCCATCGCTTGGTTGACCGCCACTTCCACCACTGCCCCAATGGATTCTTTCTCTAATAATTCCGGAGATTTCTCACTCCTTTCCTTCTTATTTGGTAGCCACCTCCCAGAATTTCGAAGCAGCCAAGTCTTCAATTCTTGCCAGTCACGAAATGGTAGCCACCTGTGTTCACATTCGAACCACTGTAACGCTTCGCCGCAAAGCCCGATGATGGCAACCTTGAGCTTCTCCTTTTCATTCAACTGGAAAAAATGAAAGTAATCCTCCATTTGGAAGATCCAGTCATCTGAGTTTCTTCCATTAAATTCGTGAATTTGAAGCTCCTGCCGGATTCTCTTCTCCTCCACATGATCTGAAATTCCTTGCTCCCTTTTAAGGGAAATGTATTTAAATTCCTCATGAATCCATTTCTTCATGAGTCGTTCGCCATCTGTTCCAGCAAACTGCATTTTTTTTTAAAGCGGTGGTACGGACTGGTGGTTCCAGTCAACGGCAGCCCACAAGACCGCCTGCTCTGATACCAATTGTTATGGACTGACTTAGTATTTTCTGATTTAAAGACTAATTAAGAGATAAAAGCTTGATACTTTGATTAATAATGGCTGAAATCAGATACAAAAGGATAGATTAATAGCTTAAGGCTATCACTCTCTTGATAACTTTAGGTTATCACTCTCCTAGTAACTTGAGGTTACTACTCTCAACATTTTTCCTCATAATTCACATGATAGCAAATGCATATACTATCCCTTATTTATACTAAGGCTTAGTTAGGAATGAGGGCTACTAACCTAAAAGTACTAAAATTCAAAATAGCTTGAATCTTCTCAAGTTCAGTAGAAACTCCATCAGAAGTGATTACATGACCCACATAGTTTATCTTCCTTGCACCAAAAGTGCATTTCTTGAGATTTGCTCTCAATGAGTAATGTCTCATTATAGAAAGAACTTCTTGTAGATGCTGTAAGTGTTCCTCCCAAGAAGTGCTGTCAAAGGAAACTAAAATGAACTTCTTCAACTGCTTTGCTTTCTAGACACATGATAGATTGAAAAGTTGATGGAGCATTGGTACTCAAAATGCCGAGAATGGGTCTTAAAGGCAGTTTTATGCACATCTTGCATCCACATCTCGTGATAACTATATTTCAAGTCTATCTTTGAGAAAAAAAAAATTCCTTGTAACTCATCCAAGAGCTCTTTAATAATGGGTATGGGAATTTTTCTTTTACAGTAGCCTTATTCAAAACTCTATAATCAACACACATTCTCCACCCTCCATCCTTCTTCTTCACTAAAACCACAGGAGCAGCAAAAGGGCTATTACAATCCCTAATCAGTCCTTGGTGAGCTAATAGTAGCAAGATATCTGTAAGGTCTAATGTTAATAGCAGTTGTACCCTCTTTTAATGGGATTATATGGTCAAAATTCTCTCTCACAGGGGTTAAGTTTGTAGGAGCTTCAAAACACATCAGAATAGCTAGCCAAGAGTTCTTCCATTTCAGCTAGAGTTCTTCTATGGATTTTATGCTCCTATCCATGGTGGGATGGATGATCTGCAGCATGGATAGCTTTCCTCCATTTTGTAGCTCTGGTGCAATTCCTTTCACCTTTTTCTTTGTTGCAACCCTAAGTTTCACCTTTCTGTTGTCCAGCTTGAACTCCATGGTTAAGTTTTTAAAATCCCACAAAATGAGAACCATTGAATTCCCAAAACAACATCATTTCCACTTAGGTGTATCCCTGCATCCTCTATTCAAATCCTTTGATCATAGTATCACATTTCAACTACCACCATCAGCTACCTTTACCCATATTGTTGCTACTTTATCCACCTTACAGTTCATTTTCAGAGCTGTTAGGGTGTCAATAGCCTGAATCAAGCAGTATGTGAAGTGGTTTCTTACCATGTTGACCCATCATTCTCATGGTATTGAAACTGCAATAACCATCTAGAGCTTGCAAGGAGATCTGAGCACAAGCAGCATCATCTTCCTACTGGTTCTTCTGTCTCCTCCTCACTCCCTTCCTCCTCTATATCCTCCATCTCAATATGATATAACCTTGGTTTCCTGCCTTTACAAGTATCCCAGCTCAAACTTCACATCACTATCACACCAAAAACATAAGCCCTTGGCTCTCTTTTCATTCATCTCAGGGGTGAGGATTTTCCTATTAGGGTTGTAAGTGTTTGGGGGTGTAAAGCTGTTTGGGGTAGTTCCTTTCCAGGGTGGGTTAGTGTTTGGGCTATTGGTAATGTGTTTGTGGGGGGGGGGGGGGTACGTAGTAAAGGGGGTAGTGGTTTTGGTACCATCCAGTTCTTCTTGGTTATCTGGCTGCTTCCTGCAATTTAGCTAGGCAGTGTGCCTGCTTAATGGCTGTTGGTGCAAAAATCCTCACACCTAACTGTATCTCTTCCTCCAAACCTCCTAGATAACAACTCAAGCCTGCTGGCCAAAGCATCAAAGGCATCATGATACTCCTGAATGCTACCAGTTTGTTTGAGTGCCTTCAGACATTGGATCATCATAGAGTTCACCAAATCTACTAGTTATATCTTTGACATATTGTTTCCAACTGGGGGGTGGATTATTCTTCACATAATTCTGGTGCCAGAGAAGTGCTCTACCCTCTAGATCATCACCATTAAACTTTGGGAATTTGATCTTGGTGAGTCTGGTAGAATACTAATAAGTTGAATTGCCCTCATCAGTACTCCCATCATCCAACTGTCCAGATTTGTCAAGTGACTTCACAGGTGATTTTATAGGTGAGCTAACATCAGAGACTAATTTGGTGACTTGCACAGATAAGCCTACCATTAAATCATGCAACTCAGATATAGATTTGGTATTCTGGCTAATATTTAAGCTATTATTGTTATAATTTTCAACCATGTTTCTGTTCTGTTCATTAATGATAGATTTAAGGTTTACCTTCAACTGCTGTAAATCAGCAGGTGTGAGAGACAGCATCATCATGGCTCACCTCAGTGTTCTTCTTTGGAGGCATTCTGGTCCAAGAACCTGGGAGGCTCTGATACCAAATGATGCAGCAAAAATCTAGTGACAGAAATTTGCTCAGAACAATGTAACAATACCCTGCTTCAATCCAATTTAATGGATGAGTAGCAGATTGATTAGCTCACGAAGTAATTTAGAAAGAAGGGAAACTTCGAGAGTGACAATCAATATGAGAATGATGATAACAGAATTGAGAGAGAATGGAGGAGTTGTATTAATTTCAGCATAAAGGATTACAACCACTAATTTGGCTTAAATAGCCTTCATTACATGTATTAAACGTGTAAATGAAAATAACAAACTTAATAAAAGGAATCTAGTTTGTTACACTCCCTCCAGCTCATCTTCCAGCTCAGCATTTCCAGCCTTTAGCTTAATTTCAGGTAATATCAATGGAACAGTGACTATATTGCCCTCCAAATGGCTCACACTTGCATCATTCCAACATATTGGTTTTCGTGACTCCGTATCAAAACGAACAAACTTATTGCAGTCTAAAATTATTAGTGCTTTGATTTGAATTTTGCATTCTACTAATTATGTATCATTTTTTTTTATTTTCTTTTCTAAACACAGATGGTGTTGGTATCAATCCTCAGCAAAGTGCAGGTAAAGAAAGTTTGTCAATTTATTAGAAGTTCTGTACCTACTGAAAGCCTTTGTGACAAAAATTACTTTTTTTCAAGGCTTTTTCTTTTGCTTACCTGTTGAAATATTTAATATCTGCTACATTATGTCTGCCTCAGTCACAGTGTGGCTGTGGCTAAAATGACATTTCGACATCAAAATTAATGATAGAAATGTAGGGAGTCGAATCTGATGTAGTTGTCTGGATATTTTTCTGCTATCTCTTCAATCCTCATTGATGCATGTATTTGTAGTTTTGTCCTTCCAGCCATCTTTTCTTGTGCAATTTAGCATTGGCTTTCAAGAAAATAAGTCTTAGTGGCTAATTATGTCTTATTTTCTAATCTATTTTTCAAATTATAAAATGAAATTCAAAAATTGACTGTAAGGGTAATACTCAAATGCTTTGGTGAAGACTTGAATTTCATTATAGAGCATGGACTATTGTTATTTTGCCTTAAGAGGCAATATTATTGCTACCCACCTATAGTAGATGGTATGGACTATTGTTATTTTACATTAGCACTCTGGTTAATGCTGATTTAATCTTGAACCTGGCATTCATTTAGACTGTAAATACGTGAACCTTGAGAACTTGTTGTGGTTATGAAACAAATTTAGCGGAGAGGATGGTCTTTGTGGTTATATTGGAGTCTATAATTTTATGGCTTTTGAAGATTCTTTGGCTTTTTTTATATCTAGCTTCCACTGCTACATTCTCACTATCTTCCTCTTCTCTCCATTTGTTTGAGTGCATGTGCAAATTTGTTTTTGAATTTATTAGAACAATTTTTGGATGCTTATTACTGCTAAGAAGAATTTATCAAGCACAAATAGTGTTAATGATGATTAACTTATATTAACAATTGAATATTTGAATGTTTAGGTAATGTCTTCCTCAAGCATGGATCTGAATTGCGGCTGATTCCTCGTGATAGAGTTGGTACTTTGCAGACCTCCTTTTAGACGATCTTGTCATAATAATGTACAGCTCAGTTATGCTGTCAGTGTATCTATTGGTTCCCATCTTTGATGTAAGAAATTCATCACTTGACTAGAATAATGTCTTAGTTGCAAATGGGAAAAATGGAAGGTTTTGGAGTTTGGATGAAGTTTGATTTGTATTTGTGGTTATTCGTTACTGCTTTATGAATTGCTCCATCGAATTTGAGGTCTTTTGGTGAGATACTTATAAAGAATAAAATGACTGGCGGAAGGCCTATTCAGAGAGATAGCATGGCAATTGATGTATTGGGTGCATCATTGTTTAAAATTGACAGTAGACAGCCCCCCAGCAGCCTTGCAGAGTAGCAGGCTCAAATGTAAATGCACAGTAACTTGCTAACCATGTAGTATTACCCATAAACACTTAATTGTGTGGCCCCATTCATTTCTCAATTTTAGACCTCTTTGTTTACAATTGTAGATGTTTCAAGGATATTAATTTTGGGTTGGAACTTTCAAACTGTAACTGCTTTTTTCCTAGTCATTAAAAATATAAAAAAAATAAAATTAAAAGAATCCCTGAGTCACAGGGGTTGGCAACTCTTTAGATGGACCCTTAAATTAGTGTACAATGTTGTCAGTTTCATCCAGCAATGAATGGTAGGTAGAAATCAAATCCATTAAAGAAGGTCTCTAGATCATGTGTTTGGCCCAAAAAGAAAAATAATGACTGAGTGTGGCTCTCTGACCTGTGCCATTTGGATGAATGCAGATTTATAACTATTTTTTATTTATGATAATTTACTCATAATCATCGCATAATTTGAGGTAATGTTGGACCAGATCTGTTTTATTTGGAAAGCTTGACTGATTATTGAATTCTGATTATATGAAATGGTACTATGGTAGGAATTACTATATTGTCTATAAACATAGTGATTATATGATAAAGTTGGTGGGGTGAAGTTTGTGACATTGTTGTATTTGTTTTACGTAAGAAGCCTCTTTTAATATTGTTTGACAAGCGGTGAACTGTGATTTATTATTCATTGTACAAGATTGTTGTCTGGAGGATCAACTATGTCCTTGATTTCCAACGCATGTTGCAACTTGCAAACGTATCGGAAAAAGTCATTAATGAGGAATATTATTCATTCAAGTGCTGTTAAAGTTAAGTACATCCAATGAGCAATAGTAACTTTGTGTTCATCTAAAACAAATGCACCTAGATGTGCGTGTGCACAAAAGATACTCTAGCTAAGAAAAAGGAGCAATCAATTTTGTATGTTTTTGTAACCATGTTAATATGACTATTGATATTGGTTGGTAATTTTTTAACCCCATTTATAAGACTATTGATATTAGAGATGCCAATGGGTTGAGATTTTGAGGTTATTTAATTTAGTCGAGCAATTCAAGCACAATTGTTGTTGAGTTTAAATGTTGAAGCTTGTTTATGTAGGAAATCAATTGGATTATTGCGAGTTTACAGGGATAATGAGTGTTGATTCTAGTACGTTAACATAGTGTTTAAGTGAAGGAGATAGATAAATCGTCAATGAACTCTTTAAATATTGGTTGTCTGGTTTCAAAATGGTAACTAAAAGAATTTTAGCTGAGAATTATGGATTATTTTAGTCATTCACGGCTATATTAAAACTGTAATGGTGTAGATTTGAGAGTAGAATACGGGGGATTAACAGTAACAAATCTCCGAACATATTGGACAAGCTAAGATCCAATAGGATATACTGTGATGATAGATTTATTTTTGACGGGAGATGATAGATTTAACTCTTTTTTTTTTTTTGAAAAGAGATGATAGATTTAACTAATAGCGTAATAAAATCATAAAGGCAGTAGTATTGGATAAATATCAGGAGTAAAAATATAAAATAAAATAAAATTAAAAAAAAAAAAAGGTACTCGTAGTCGTAGTAGGCAAAAGGGTGGCCCTTTCCTCGCAAAAAACTGGTTGCAGATTTGCAGAGTTGAAAAATGAAAACCCCAGTAGTAGAGTATTAAGTATTAAGTATTAAGTGGGGTGTGCGCTGTTATACCCCTAATTTTGACACCCGAAACATCCATCCCACCCAAGCAGCAGCAGCTGCTATGCCTATGCCTCCCTTTGAATTTATTCCTTGATTATCTTCTCTTTCGGAATTATGGAATCCACGACTACCCGCTCCAAACCTCGCCGTAAAATCATTTACGCCGGCATTGTTCTCCGGCGCCGGTGGTGTCTCCGGTACTGGTTGATCTTGCCGCTGCTTTACCTTTTAGGTTTGATACTTTGTGCTCGTCCTCTCTCTCGACTCTTCTTCCCTCTTCCTCCTCCTGGCTCTGTCTACCATAGTCATCAGATCTTCCACAACCTTCGTCTCCGTATTCTCACCGACGATTCCCCTGCTATTCAGGTCCCAACTCTCTCTCTCTCTCTCTCTATTGTTTTTTTCTTAATAATACTGAGTATATTTGTTTGTATTGTATGTCAACTGTAGTAACATTGACTTCAATTTTACAGTCTCATTCACTTTTTGCTTCCAATTTGTTTATTTAAGAAATTAGAATGCTTTGTGTGAATGAATGAGTAGAATTCATCAACTTTCTATTATTGATTTCATGGGGAATTCAGTGTTAGGATTGTACACAATTGCTGATCCTCAATTTGAGATTGACTAATAAATGCACTTAGCTTTTTTTGGGATCACCTTTCAAATCGTAGCTAATTCAAATGTTACCTTAATTGGTACACTGCCTTTTTTTTTTCTCGCAGCTATCTAGTCTCTGGATGTATAAAAAATTGAAAATTGAAAAGCCTTGCAAAATCACGTACGAAGAAACACGAATGGGTGAGCAAATACGATATACATACTTATACATGATATTTGATTATTCCTGAGCTGCCCTTGACGACTTTGCCATTCTCAGAGAGGTCAGAAAATAATGGATATTTGATTGTTGAGGCTAATGGAGGCCTTAATCAGCAGAGATCTTCGGTAATACACTCCCACCTTTTTACTTACATTTGTCATTTTTTGTTGATACCATCACTCTTTAGTTTAAGTGAAAAACATTCAATTGTGGAACTAATTATTGGGATTTGGGAATGCAGCAAACACTATCGCATTTCTATGTAGAAATATATAGTACAAATGCTGATTGTTCTGCGTTTCTGATTCAGATATGCAATGCAGTGGCCGTTGCTGGGTTTTTGAATGCCACATTAGTAATTCCCCGTCTTGAATATCACAATGTCTGGATGGATCGAAGGTCTTTCTTCTTGTCTTTCTTTTGCTTGGCTTTTCATTCATTTTCAACTTAGGTATCTGCCAGTCTCCTCATCTGCTTTTATTTTTTCAGTCATTTTGATGATATCTATGACGAGCAGCATTTTATAAACACTCTTGCTGGCTTTGTGAGGGTGACTCGGGAACTACCTAGAGAACTTATGGAACAATATGATTATGAGATCAGTAATGTACCTATTGTCCAAGTCCCTGCTTGGTCTTCCATCAGTTACTACCTTGAAGAAGTTTTTCCCATCTTACGGAATCAAGGGTACGTCGGTTTTCATTATTGCTTTCTTCATGAACTATTACTTTACTTTTAAGAGGCATGCTCATGATGATACAAGTTACCCTTCCATGACATAACATATTACTTCATCCCATTTCCTACCATCTATATCATTTTTTGGAACCTTTCTAAACAATAATGAGTTAAAACTACAACATCACAGTGGGAAAGTATGGAGTAAAATATGGTGATGATCAAACCAGCATATGGTAGATTGAATTTTATTCTTGCTATGTCCCATGAGGTATTCTGTACATATTGAAATTGTTTACCCTTTACAGTATAGTAATGATCATTATATCCTGATGTCAGCTAGGCTTGTTCGCATTGCTCCTTTTGCCAATAGATTGTCAATGTATATTCCTCCAGACATTCAGTACTTAAGGTGCCTTGCAAACTACAAAGCTTTAAAATTTGCACCTCCTATATCGGCACTTGCCAAAAGTATAATCAAGCGCATGGTTGAGAAGAGTCCAAAATCCGATGGTAAATATGTTTCAGTTCACCTCCGTTTTGAAGAGGTATCCAATCTTTCTTGGAGCACGGTTTATCCTTTTCTATCAAATGTTCTGATCGTTGCTAATTTTTATGTGGGACTGACTGGACATGTAGGACATGGTTGCATTCTCATGCTGCATATACGATGGAGGAAAGAAAGAACAGTTTGAAATGGACTTTGTCCGAGAGAAAGGATGGAAGGGGAAATTTAGACGCAGGGGCACAGTAATCAATCCTGGCTTCAATCGAATCAGTGGAAAATGCCCGCTTACCCCTGTGGAGGTATGTTCAATCTTTCACTCAAGCTGTCAAGCTATAAAGACCCTTCAGGAATCAGGATTGATCTCCTGCAATCTGCAGATAGACCTTTAAAAAGAGTGCATAATTCAATGGATCTTTTTTTATCTCTAGATATTTGGAACAAATAGTATAGATCTTTGAATAATAAAACCCAAATAACCAATAATTGGGGGTATTTGCACCTCTATAATCATGTATCTCACCTTTTCCTCCCATGTCGTTTCTTGTCAGCACAGGTTGGAATGATGCTTAGAGGAATGGGGTTCGACAACAATACATTGATCTATTTGGCATCAGGAAAACTATATCAGGAGGAGAGTCAGTTAAGTCCCCTATTGGAGATGTTTCCGCTTCTATATACCAAGGAGTCTCTTGCATCCCCTGAAGAGCTTGCTTATTTTAAGGTGATTATTGGTATTTTCCTGGGACTATGAATAAGTTAATAGTGATCCAGGATGTAATTGATCATAATCATGATTAGACCAGATTCAATTACAAATTAGTGCTTCACATTATTAGCTGTAGCTGTAGCTTCCATTTCACTGGAGTGATCACTGTAAAATCATTCGAACTTATTCACCTGTTACAGGGGTACTCGTCTAGATTGGCTGCTCTGGACTATGCAGTATGCTTATTCAGCGAGGTTTTCTTGACCACTCAGGGTGGAAATTTTCCACATTTTCTCTTGGGTCATCGCAGATATATCTATGGGGGGCATGCAAAGACTATCAAACCCGACAAGCAGAAACTTGCTCTTCTGTTTCATAACACAAGCATCAGGTAACTGTCCCTCTTATCTCTTTGTTGAACAGCTAATCTGCACATCTTGTATTACGAATGTAATTTGACCATGTATTCTAGCTTTAAGTCTAATCACTTGTCCAAGTTGGAACTTTGGATTGTTCATGCATTTACTTCATACACTTCCCACTATTTCAAAATTTTTTGGACAAATAACTCAAATGTGTGGGTTTAACAAATGTTTTTACAGTTGGCAAGAGATTAAGGATCAAGTCAAGGTGATGCTAGTAGAAAGCAACCGGGAAGGACTTATGATGCCAAGAATAAAAAAATCTAGCAGGCACAACTCAATTTACAAATACCCATTTCCACAGTGTAGATGTCTTCAAGAAGCTCAAAATCTTACTGTAAATAGAGCAAATGTGGGTGATGTGCTGGATCACCAGCTAAAGCACATAATTTGATACGGCTATTCTTTTGTGATACCAGCATGCCATGCCAAACGAACATACCTTGGTAATTTAGTATAGATAAAGGACCTAGTGGAAACTTCTGGACGAGGCCATTCTCCAGACTCCAGTGATTTTGCATGAGTCAGGCCAAGTTTTGTCTTAGAGCCACACCGGTAGAGGTATTATCATTCAACAAATTCTTCAAGACTCAAACAGAAAGTCCATGTCCCATTGCTGATAGTTTGTGCCCGAATTTATTTAAACAAAGTGGGATACTTGCTACAGCTATGGACTCTGGTGCAGGTAAGTTTATATCCATTATGATGATGCATTTTTAACATTAGAGGTTGCTGAATAGGAAAACCATGAGTTGATGAACCTGCTACCTTGAAAGGCTCTAAGCTAGGACATTCCTTGGGCCAATTTTGATGTAACCCATTGGGGCAACTACCCCTAAATTTTTTTTGTTGTCCCTAATTGTTAATAATCTTTTTTTGTTAGTATAATACAAGTATTACAGTAGCCCCTCTTATAGAAATTTTCTGTTTGGAGATGACATGTTATCCTTCTTTTGTTAGTATAGTAGAGTGTTACAGACTTACAGTAGCCCCTCAAATAGAAATTTTCTGTTTGGAGATGACCAGTTAAACCTTCTTTTGTTTTTGTTTGTATATTACAGTATCTGCTGTAGGCCTATAACAGGTAATTTTGTAGAATAAACCCTAAACATCTAATGCATACGGTCGTTTTGATCGTCTTATTAGGTGCTATATTTTAGTTTTGTGAGAAGATTGTCTAGACCTTTGTATTACTCTGTAAAATATATTCTTTTCGGTAAAAGAAAATTAGGTGCCATATTTAATTGAAAAAAAAAGAAGCAAAATATGAAGTACTTATAATTAGAATTGGGATAGTGAACAAAAGGGTAAATGGTCACTAGAGATTAAAGATTGAAGGGCCCTTTTGAGCATGAACCTGAACTTGAACCTAAACCTAAACTTGATCCAATAACATTAGCTCAATAATACTCCGTATTTTGATTAAACAAAACAATCTAGTAGAGTACGGAGTAATAATTAGATTGTGATTTTTCATTTAATGGAGGGCATCCCACTCCGGCATACTAGGAATAAGTTTAATTTTATACACCGTAATAGTGAAAGCTGATCATGCGCATTGTCGCTGTAATGATTTCATATTAGCTTTCAACATCCCACTCCGGCATTCCCTCTACTCTTTCTTTGTTCATTATTATTCTTATTATCCACTGAAGCATCTTCTTTCTATTTTTACCTTCTTTTCATGCTCTTTTTCTAATTTATTTGCTGTAATTCACCCAAATTTACTCTTTCTTCCTCCCCTTTTTCTGAAAGCTGAACACTGCAGCAAATCAAAAGACTAAAGAGCCCTGTAAAATTTCACAAACCCAGCTTCCATTTGCTTTTCTTTTTTTTTTTTTCTTTTTTTTTTTGTAAAAATCCACAGCTGCATGTGTCACCCTCCTAAATGAGATACTTTACGGAGTAGTGTAATGACTACATTTAGTTACCTGGTCCTAAAGCCATATTGTCACAATATAATCTAGCCACTAATTAAGCCAGGGTCACTCGAGCCAGGTCCTGTGTGTGTCACTGTCTTTTAGCTCTCGACTAATTTAATGAAACAAGCAAATACTATTGTAATTTATATTCTATAGCAAAAACAAAAGAGGGGGCATGCATACAAGTTGCAGGGAGTCCAGTCTCAGGACTCAGGCTTTGCAATTTGCAATTGATAATGAGCAATAGAAATCTTTGACTCCTGCATTAATTTATAAAAAGGAACACTTGGATTAAGCTGTCGTAACTCAACCCATGCAATACGACGTATGCCAAGTGTTGTAAGGAATCTGGATAATTAACTTTAATAACAAGTCTTGCTTATTAGGGGGCCGTGCCTTTTTAGTTTTTGCTATTAAACACTTAATTAACAGCAGCTGTGCGCCCATACAACATTGCTTCATTTTTTGTTATTTCGACATCATTATACTTATCAAACTGCTACTGCCTACTGCATTTGATTTAGCAGGCCTGGCCTTTGCCCCTTGGTTGTACAATTCAAGAATCATCAACTTCAACTATTAACTCTCAGCTTCCCAAGTAATACATGCATACATACGGTCATACGGTTTTGTTTACTTCTTTTGACATCAAGTATTTTTCAACTTTTATTTTTAATGAACATGTTAAGTTTGTTTTTTTAAGACTATAAGTAGAAGATAATGTTATGTTTAACCCTCATCATAATTCCCATTTATAGGTCAAAGTATTGGGTTTGATTGCTCAAAGAAGCATGGATTTGGTGTTTTTTAATTTATAGGGTCAATAATTTTGTTTGGTTGGGCGCTTTTATAGGGGGCAATAATATTGTTAGATTGGACCACATCTAGCTTGTTTATGGCATCTGTATTACAACTAACAAACAGATTTCCATTTGTGATGAGTTGCAGTGACATCTCTTTCACTTCATTATCTATTTCTAGGACATCTGTTCATGCCAAACCGACCAGGTTTTTTTTTATCTCCCTTTTCTATCATAACTTTTTCTTTTAATAAGAGAATTATCAATGAATATAATCTTTCATTTTCTTTACTTCACAATAGCTCCAAACCATTACTATAAATCATCTAACTTCTGTCATTATACTTTTGAAATGAACTTATCAATGAGATCAAATGAAATAATTTAACTCACTGGCTAAGTTGGTAGTTGGTCTTTTTCATTTTTTAAAGAGTTGACTGGAGCCAAATTAGAACAATCTTAACTTGCATTGCTTGGGTTTTCTAACCAAAGGCTACCATTTCCATGCACATTTTGCATATAGTACAAAATATCATTAAAACGTTGCCCTACCCAAAGCTGAAGATATACAATAACCAAAGCATGTAGAAATAATCTACACTAATTTAAGATCTCCAGCCCAAACATCTAAAACCCCCTATAGATAACAACAAAACAAGGCAGAATTGCCTTGGGGTTAAAAACATACAACTCATCCAAATTTGAATAAACTCCGGTTGCTCCGGCCACCGAGTCATACTCCTCTGATCCACCACCTTCTGGGCTCTTCTTGACCCGGCCGGCAATCACCCGGCACACCAGCATTGCCCTCCTCTCCTGCTCCTCTGAACCAACATCAGCTCGATCATGAGCTCGCCCACTCGTGGCAGTCGTTAGTATGTCTTTGCCTGTAGGCCCCTCATCGGCTAGCTTAAATCCATTTTTAATAATGCTACAAACATTGCAATGTGGGATGGAATTACAAAGGTTGGAGGAGTCATTTAAACCTAGGGAGCACATAAATGTGGTGCAATGGAACCTTAGAAGCTCATTTCCATCAGCTATGCACCTAGCATGTTTTTTAGGGAGCCTTGTTGCCTTAAATTTAATTGAGTCCCTATATTCCTCAAACTTGTTGATGGTCTTTTGGGTGTTGTGGACTTTAAGAATTCTATCAATTTTGCATACTGGAGTTTGCTTCTTTAGCCAGCTTGATTGGAATATAATCTCTACTATATTCTTACTTGTATCCTCAGGACCCAGTTCAGATACTACACCAGAAAAACATAAAATCATCTTAGTCAAAGAAATTTTATGGCATAAAAAGTATGAAAATGCTCTAAAGTGCTTATGACATAGAGGAAAATTTCCAAAAAGTGAGAACTAAACATTCTATACTTGAACAACAAGATTAATTAAATTGTAGTAGTCCATGACTTTTGTAGCTCACTTTCCGCCTTTATATCTTCTGAAACTAGACTAAAGCTAGAATCTTTACAAATGTAATACTCCGTATGAATAATAAACAGTGGTGTGCAGTGTGATTAAGCATAGATAAGAAGTTGATAATTGAAAAATTAAGAGGAAGATGAGCTTGAATGAGACTAAGAAAGAGCAAGTACCTGCATGCCTGACAGCCTGATGAAGCTCCAAATTCTCAGGTTTCATGAAAACTTCGCCGCAATGAGGGCAAGAACAAATAGTAGCTCTAAGAGAAGGATCTCTAGTGAAAGACAAAACAGGATCAACAACCATTCTACACTCATAACACCCTGAAAGTCTTCTAAATGGAATCCCTTTAATAGAGTAATTAGCAGCAGTAGTACTGTTAGAAGAAGATGATTTAAGTAAGACCCCATTAGTGTTACTAAGGTCACTCAAAACAGGAGATTTGATTGACCGATTTGATCCTTCATGGCTGCTGCTACTGGTGGTGCTAGTACTAGCATGGGTAGGACCACCCCTGCTTTTTCTCTGAAGTGTTTCAGGGGAAGCTGTTTCAGGCCTCTGCATCACTTTTGTGTTGTTGCAAAGTGACCCTGAACATTTCATTTTCTTATTCTTCTTGCTGTTTTCCTCCGGTATTGCTGGTTTTTCAGCATGCTTTTGCTTTTGCTTTTGCTGTTTCTTTTTCTGGGACAGTGATGCTTGCTCTTGCTGTGGCTGTTGCTCCACTTGGAGGTGCTTGCAAGTGAGAATGTTCCTCATTACCACCCATGAAGGTAATGCTTGCGACTGCTGCTGCGACTGCGACTGCTGCTTTTCTTTGTCATCTTCCCTCTGTGAAGGGGGTTGACTTCTTCTTGTTCTGTGAACTTCTTTTGTGAGCTTCCTAGGATTTGTTGTTTTGGCCATTGTTGGGAAGTAAGAAAAAACAGGTGTGAATTTTCTATTTCAAGGTTAACTAAGGTCACATGGGATAGTTTTAAAGCACAAGTGCTGGAAAAGCAGATAGATGGTTGCAAGTTAAAGAAGGGCAAGAAAAAGAGGGAGAAGCCAGGAAGAGGCTTTGCTTTTTGTGAATAATTTATGGCTGCATTGCTTGGATTTGAGATTGAGATTTATGAGGCCAACTTTCATGATTCACCCTCCACCCTCCTATATGGCTATTAGGCTATATACTTGTTTCTTTATTATAGTGGGTTTAGCTTGGATTTTATTATTTTTCATAAATTTTCCACTATACAATTTGATACTCCGTACATTTTTAAACCATACTTTATCTATTATTTTAGTTGATACGTTTCTTTAATTATGTTTGTCAATTTTAAATTTAATCTTAGTATGTATTATATATATTAAATTTTTATATTTTTTGGGATAGAGGTTAGAAGAAAAAAACATAATACTTATGAAGTATATTGTTTTTAAATACTGACATGTATCTTGCACTTAACATTTAAATTTTTTTAGAGAAATCAAGTTTTAAAACTTAGCTCTGATTCCATTTTTTTTTTTAGCCAGCCCAAAAATGTCCAGCATTATTATAGCATCATTTGTTAGGAAATTTTTCTTTCCAAACTCTCATGTCCTCATAATCTCTGGATACATGAGCTAATTTATGTGTCACTCCATTTGAAAAAATTAGAGCTCTATTTTGTTTACTACGTACTTTGAATTATTTTTTTTTTTTATTTTTTTTTTTTTTTTGAAACCACATACTTTGAAATTTAAGATAAGTTCAAATATATTAATTTTAGTGGATTCTTTCTTATATATGAGTTTCAATTTTATTTTAATTTATTATCAATTCCTAAAAGGGCTATAATATAACATACTCCGTATTACCCAATGCATTAAAAATGTTATAGAAGCCATTCTAATTAAATTCCTTGAGTTAATCATGACTGCATTCTCATTATAATCTTGTTCTTTTTCATAAGCACTTCTCATCTAGTGTACCTCCTCCAGTATTTCATGTTGTTCTTTCTACCTATAATCTTTTTTGAAAACAAAATTGGTCAAAGTGAAAAAACAATATGAATCAAAAGGAGTCTTAAAATTTTTATTTAATAATTATTACAAAAACAGGAGCAATGTTCAATATTGGTAATCAATTTGGAACTATAATCTGGCTGTTGAAACAAAAGAATCTCAGTGACCAAAGGATGTATAGGGGAGTGCATTGCGCATTGTAGTATCATAGATGATATCATTTTTTTCTTTTTTAATAATAAAATTGACATACAATTTATACAGAGTAAGAGACCATTGATGCACAAAAATTCTACTCATAACTCACAAGTGACTCACAGGAGACCATCACAAGAGCCAAGGAGAAACTTTAATATAAAATTAGAATATCAAGTAAAATAATACTCCAGTAACAACTTATTATAGTGAGCTAATTATAGTGCATTAATACTTAATAGTGGTGCATAGCTTAGCATGGCCAAGCTATATAATAGTAGTTGTTGGTAAGCAAGTAAGTTAGTGCAGTTATGCAGTACACTAGTACAGTAAGAGTAATTGATAGAAAATTAGAAATAGTGTACCTAGTAACGTTGGTTGAGCTTTAAATGACCAGCCCAAACCACCAGGCCACACTGGACGATTATGTAACTAATTTTATACAGACCACTCCACGCACGCACATACTCTCAACGTCATATCACTACTTTGATTTTCCTTTTTTTTTTTTTGTTTTTTTTTTTTTTTTTTGATGAGAATCAGTCCTAAAATTTCCTAAAATCGAAAGTGAAGTTCTAACCACTTAAACTATCCCTCACTCTTTGATTTTACATTTCATTTAGTAGTTGGTAGTAATTTGTCATGTATTTCTTCACTTCCTGTTTTGTATCTTGCTCATTTTGGGTCCTTTTTCCTAACCACTTATTATAACTCTCCACTTTTTTTGTTTTTTTTTTTTTTTTGCTATGCCTACCTAATGTTTTGTCTTATAATTTTTCACTTGACACAGTGTATATTAGAACAATTATCTAATATCCCATCCAAACAATATGAATTATAATACGTACTTAGTAATTAAATCTTATTCAAATAGCTTATAGACTTTAGGATATTTTATTCAATCATGTAGTTTTTCTTCAAAATTATATGATGTGATACTTTATTCAAGTTTAACTAAATTTTCATTTAAAATCAGTAGGTAACAACTGTAGTCTATCACGCACCACTTCTTTTTCAATGCAAGACAATTAAATTAACATGTGATTTTTTTTTATTTTATTTTTTAGCAACCTCTCATATAAACTTATTATGGTTGTAGCTTTAACTTGAGTGTGACTTATAAGCCATCATCGAAATTTCTTAGATCGAATCGTATTGATGTACTGCTATATGGTATCATCTAAACTATTTATGGATTATTTTGAAATTGAATAATACGGAGTAATTAAAACATTAAACGATTAGACATATACGAGTAAATTAAAAAATTAGGGTCTTTGAACAAAAGAATAGGTAGGGTAAAAAAAAATCAGTAAGGTATTAGTAATAAAATTGGAGGCTAGTTTCTCCAAATGGTGAATTTTTGGGGTAAAGTGAAATCTGATGGAAAAACACCAAAATCAAGGTGAAATCACTAATTGCACCATAATGACTTAATGAGGGTTGCTCCTCCATAAACGGGAAAGGAAAAAAAGCTGATGTAAAAAAAAATTGATTCCTTTTGCCTCAAAATCATGTTTTGTAAGAGAGACCACACTTTATGGTTATGGAATATTTAAAATTAAAGCTCTATTTTACCTTTTTAATTAAACCGAGCCACATTCATCCCACGTACCCAAACCTAGCTACCAACGGAAGTACTTGAATTTTATAAACTAACTAACTTCATCACTGTGTACTTAATTCCACTATCTTGATGAATGTAGCATATCTATCTTCATATTTATTGATTGTTCCATACTATCTATATCTTCCGGCCTGGCAAAGCATTATTATAAGGAACTGAGGAGCATAACTTCATGATTTATGAAGTTTCGTTGTTTCATTCGTGTACGACGAGTGTATCATATAGATACTCGTAACTCATAAGAGACCACTCCTACTATATATGTACTCGTATGTCATTGAGAGAGCTCATAACACCCAATTCAAATGTTTAATCAAATAAAATAAAAAATTATAATTTGAGCATAGGAGAACGAAACTCATGCTATATGAATTATACTTGTATATGATAGCTCGATAAGAATGTCATCATGTTATTTATCTCAGTAATACTCGTTGTACCATGGTAGGATATCTTTTATTTTTCCTAATAAAAACAATTGCATCCAATAAGAATCAGAGTTATATATATTGCATATGTAAGTAATGCGTTTGTACAAGAGAAGCATGTGGTGGGCTTCATAGTTTAGTAGCCTTGTATTTGTCATAAAATAAGGCTTTCTAGAGCAAAATTACATTTGTTGAATATATATACTATCAAACAACAATATTACTGGACAAAAAGTTAAATATACGATATGATATGGTTGGTGAAATTGGAATTTGAAAAAGATGTAGCAAGTTGTTCAGGAAGATGAAAATAACCAGATTGTATAAAAACGTGGCTGAAATTCCTTATATACAGACAGTGGCGGACCCAGGAGTTTCCGACTGGTGAGTCACAATCGATAACCAAATATGTAAAAAAAAATTTGACAACATGACAAGCTTAGCTCTCTAATAATTGACAAGATTAAAATCTTTACAAGCATTAGGGTGTATTGACAATTTGACAGACATAATTGACTATATCATTAGGGTGGGTCGACTATATCATAAGCAATCGTCCGAATCACCAATCAAATCAGCACATATGCAAAACCCCATATAAATCTACCAAAGCCAATGGTGTATTGACAATTTGACAGACATAATTGACATCAATAAACACCCTAAATAAACACTGACTACAATTCACATGGTCAAAAAGGTTCAAATTTCACCAAAATCCCAACAACATTAACAAAAGGTTCAAAGTTTACCAAACAAACAACAACAAAATCAACAAAAGAAAATAATTTTTTTTTTTTTTTTTTTTTTTTTTTTTTAAAAAAAAAAACTTAGAAATTTTGTTTGGGCCTAGTGAGTCATTTAACTCACCATGCACAAGGCCAGGTCCGCCAATGTATACAGATCAATGGACGAAAATGTTTTTTTTTTTCAAAATTCAAAATGCAGCTTCATTATTTTACTATATACTGTAAATTCTTTCATCTTTACTTGCTTTAATCAAAACTGTTTTAAAATACACTCCATATAAATATTGATCAATTGCAGCTGAATAATTTAATGGGCCAGAGTCAAAGAGAGCTCTTCTTTCTTTTTTGATTATAATCAACAAATAATCTTGTTTATCTTACATGCATTTAATAACATATAATGTACTACTGAGAATAATTCGAAAGTTGAGCAATCCACTTTTATCAAATTTCAAGTTCGAGACGTCTTGAAATCATCCCAATTTGTGTCATTTGTTCATAATTATATTGGATCTTACTTGTCCAATAGAAGATAATACATACAATTGCTTACATCATCAACTCCTCTTCCTCTTTCTACAAAGGAAAATTTTACATAGATCTTCAATGTAAAAGGGATAATATTGCATGATCAAATACCATTATCATTATTAGTTATTGTTTATATTTTGTAATCTTTTAATTTAATTACTCAACTCTGTTGGTATATCCCTTAATATTAAAACTAATGTACCTAATCATATTTAGTGATGATCATCTATTCTCTAATCTGATACTTAGTACTATTTATGTACTCATCAATTTAATATATACACTCTCTAAGCTTTCTCTCATTTTCTTTTAACTTTCCAACATCCTCTTTATCATAACTTTATCATTAATCGTTGGGTATTCGTATTTTGAGTAAGAGATTGAGGAAGGGTAAACCTAATCTCATTAATTTCTCTGATTTTTATACATGTTAGTTGTTAAAATGTAAGTAATCTACAAAAATTTAGGTTATTTTCTAAAGTATATTCTACAATGTGTGTCTACTAGTTGGATTAATCAAGAATCATTGTCCTAAGTAGGAAAAGAAGCAAGTAACACCACAACTATATATATACATGCAAGTGATGTATTGTGAAGTGTGTGGAGTCAAGAGTATTCCACCAAATTTTGGGAAAGTTAGGAGCTATCACAAAATTGTTATAGTAGGGAAGTATTCACCAAGATAATGAGAGACATTAGCTTTCACAAATTAGATATATAAGTTGTGTAGGTGTGGAATAAGACTCCCACCAAAAATATTGTTGTAAAATTTATTTTATGGAGTATAATTTGTGAAATCTTAAATGTGTATGACATTTGGGTCTATTAAACTTCTGCATACATTCAAATTCTATACATCATCAGCCACACATGAGAATACAAATAAATATTTAACATTTGTTAAATTTATGAAAAACCGAACGTGTAAGATTTTGATGATATCAAATAGAATTATTGAACAATGCAAAAGTTTGCACTTCATTTGTCCCTAAGTATGTACTTCCTTCGTCATTTTTATACTTAATATTTGGAATTTTTGTGATGATAAAAATGATCAAAACGTAAAAATTAAAAAGTGACAGTAAGAGTACTATTGTCACATTGATCAAATTAAAGATCTTTTAAAAGGAGTTGGAATGCTATAATCAATTTGTTGTTGTTGTTGTTATTGTTTAATGCGAGTCTTTATAACACAACAATTTCATCTTTCTTAAATTCTAAAAGGAGTGTGTTAATGGTGATATGTGCTTGTTGACTTGTTGTAAATCTTACAAACTAAGTTTTGACAATACAAGCAAGACTAAAACCGTGAAATGGGCTTATTACAATAAATTCACATAGTAGAAAATGCCTGGCCCGCAAAATAGTTTGGATAAACGTTCATCATGGGGCTGACGGGCCTTTATGGGCTTGTTGTCCTTTTTTCATCAGTAATTAATGGTTGAGGTCGCGTTCAGCCAGCACGGGCTGAAGTCACTGCCAAAATTGACATTTAGTATAACAAAAATGAATATTTTGTAACTGAACATAATTTACAATTATTTTGTATTTTTCAATAATAAAATTTTCATTTTCATGCACCGCAAATTAGTTTGGGTAAACGTTCATCATGGGGATGACGGGCTTTTATGGGCTTGTTGTCCTTTTTTCATCAGTTATTAATGGTTGAGGTTGCGTTCAGCCAGCACGGGCTGAAGTCACTGCCAAAATTGAACATTTAGTATAACAAAAATGAATATTTTGTAACTGAACATAATTTACAATAATTTTGTATTTCTCAATAATCAAATTTTCATTTTCATGCAGAATGATGTTCATTCTTATAAATAAATGTTCATTTTCATACATTCTTATAAAAATAAATGTTCATTCTTATAAAAAAAAACAATTTTTTTGTTTGTTCAATTGTATAAGATGTTTGTTTTTATAATATAGGATATTCAATTAACATTGCATTACTACTATTAGACATTAACATTTTGTTCATTATTAAAAAAACATATTATTGATTTATTTATTGGTATTAAATCTTATAGCTCAATTGCAAGAAATCCAGTCAAAAATCAAGGTATTTAACTTGAAGCTTAAAAAATTATTGATGAATAAGCAATAACATCATATGTTCATTTTATTTATAACTGAAATGTTTAATTCTAAATGTACAATCCTTTTTTTTTTTTTTTTTAGTTTTATAATCTCTTTATTTTACTCTTACAACTAGTCTGTGGCTCAGTCGATGTCCCGAGTTGCTAGTTTGTACTTGTATAATTTGCTAATCAAATTCGACTATTTAGATAGTAAGACTTGTTGGTTTTGAGTTTAAGTCTTGCTATAAACATTTTTTAGTTGTCGAACTCAATCATTATATAATAGAAACAATTAGTATAATAAGACACAAATTAACTTATCTTTATTTTTTAGGAACGTTTTTTAACATATACTACTTCCGTTACATTCATTTTTAGGAATATGTTTAGAAAATCAGAAATAAATGTTCACTACTTTCTCTGTTCTTTTTTACTTGACCTGTTTCTTTTATCACGCTTGTCAATGTAAAACTTTAACGATCAATAACTTAAATTCTCCATAAGTAAAAATTATAAAAGTTATATATTATGATAGTACTTATTGAGAGGAATCCAAAAAGATCACACATGAATATATTTTTCCTTACATATTATTCACAAAAGACGGTCAAAGAAAATGTGGTGAATAGTGTAAAAGTCAAAGCGGGTCAAGTAATTAAGAACGGAGGAAGTATTTTTTTTTTCATTATTAGGATTGTAGTCCAATGGGCCAAAAAATAAGAGCCCAAAGAAAGGGAATTGAATAAAGAGAGAAGAGAGAAGAGAGAAGAGAGCGCCATTAACCCTGAATTCAAAAAAATAGTGAATGAAGTGGAGTTGATGTTGGCAACAATGGCGATGGGTCTGGCGATGGCTGAAGTGTAGAATGTGGGAGTAAGTGTGTTGTTCAGAGATGCAATCAGAGGTTTTTCCATGCCATGGACGGGGACCCTGACGTTCCGGCCCCACTGCTGAGTTCCACCACCCGCTCCGTCAACTTCAACTCGTCTTCTTCTTCTTCTTCTTCTTCTTCTTCTTCTACTGCTACTGCTACTTCTTCTCAACCTGATTTTCTCCGTAATGTCCAAGCCGCTTTCAAACGCCACCGTTCCATTGGTATTTTTTTTCATTTTCCCTATTTTCGATTTAGGGTTTGCTTTTATTTCCTAATTTATCTACATCTGCTTTATGTTTTTGGATTTTCACTGTCAACCGTCCAATTTCACATTCTATATACTTAATTGTAAAATCTCCAATTACCTTTTTCTTCTGTCAATGCTCAATCCGATTGCTTGTGCTTTAGGCATCACTGTCAGATTCAATTTGGGGCTAAACAGCTTGCAATTTTATGTCAATTTTTGGGCTTCAACTAGATACCTCTCTTTATTTTTTATTTTTAAATATGATGCTTGGAACTTACAGGTACAATGCAATCAACTAACTTGTTACCGAGACGTAGTGTGCCACCACAACCACAAAGGGAGACGCCCAAAAGTTCACTGCATAATTCTGGTTTAAAAGTAGAGACCAAGAGGTCTGTTGAAATTGCTTCTCAACCCAAGAATTTCGACGCCCACACGAATGAGAGATCGTCTGTCATCGATCCTCAGGAAGATGCCTCACTTACGCCTCCTTCCTTCACCGGTACTATCACCAATACCTATGATGACAAGTATAATCCCTTTGGAGGGCACATCAAGGATGATCAACTAAACTGCAAAGCTGGTGTTGACATCAATGTTTCCTCTGCTGCACAATCTAAACATTGTCAAGTGCTGGAAGGTTCAAGGAAAGTCAAATTTTCACAGGGTATTTTATTATAATCCGCTTTTTACTTGTTTAAAATTATGATACTCCGTACCTTTTATTCCCTAGAACAAAGCAACTCAAATTTTTGCTTCTCACCAAAGTGTGTTTTAGACTGTTCATTTTTTACTGATGCCATTTTTGCTCAGAATGTACAACTTTTTCTTAAATTAAATTTCATCTAAATTGGGTTGGTATTATATTGCATAATCATCAACTTTAGAACTTGCCTGTTCAAATATAAATCAATTGTAAAATTGTGGGAAATGGACCTTTTCCTTTTCTTCAATGCTGCTATTAATGCAGGAACTGATGGTCAAATGGCCACCAGAATGGATTTGGCCACCAGATTGGACAACTTATCTTCTCATATGGATTCACTTGCATTGACAGAAATGGAGTGGGAGGCGGTTAATCAAGCAGAGACATCCAATGTCATTAACAATGAACCAAAACTTCAGAATCCTGTCAGCACTGATGCAGATGGCCGTTCGAGAGGTTATGGGGTCTCTTCAGTACTAGCAGTAAAAATGTCATCTCTTCAGAACCAGCTGCACCACTTAAGAGATTTCCTGCATAATGATGTAAGCCATCCAATGACCCAATCTTCTGTGGTGGGATCATCTTGTGTCACCACAACCTCTGTCCATGGAACATCTGCACCGATGCTCAATTCAACAACTCATTCTTCATGCCCTCATCAAGATAGTTCAGCAGTTGGGTCCTTACCTGATGCCAATCGGATTTCTGAGAACATAGCCCTAAGAGATGGGATGCATCAAGCTTGCCCTACATCCGTAAATTCCAGCGGAGTTGATGCTGACAGGGCACTCAGTGGAGCTCAAGCTTCAAGCTCTGCAACAAATGCCTTAGCAGAAGTCAAAGAAATCCAACAACATATCTTGCTGCAGCAAACTAAAGTACCCGCTGATCCACCCCAAACTCAAAGCCAGCCCATAATGGAGAAAGGACAGGGGGCCGATGCTTCACACATCCCACCACCTAGCTCCTCATCAAAGGACCTATCTTCTAATGTGAAGCTGGAGCCCTCTAAATCAGAGAAGCATGAAAAGGCACCATCTCGGAAAAAGGGTTATGATCCTGACTTGTTTTTTAAGGTGAATGGGAAACTTTATCAAAGGCTTGGCAAGATAGGAAGCGGTGGAAGTAGTGAAGTTCATAAAGTTATCTCATCTGACTGTACAATTTATGCTTTGAAAAAAATCAAGCTTAAAGGTCGTGATTATGCTACTGCTTATGGATTTTGTCAAGAGATCCTGTATTTAAAGAAGTTAAAGGGGAAGGATAATATTATCCAACTTATTGATTTTGAGGTAGGCACTCTTTAGATTCCAATTTGTACTTGGCTATTGCCTGTCTTTGCAGAATTAATGGTTTCTTTTGGGAATATAACAGACATGGTCCTGTAAAATTTAGTGTCTTATACCAGTTGTTTATATATTATCATTCAGTGATTTATGAGTGCTAGTTGTGGGCTTAAGTAGGTTGGACAGTCTTTGTTATATCCTCATCTCATCATACCACACTAAAGCTCACTTATCATGTTTCATGTTTACCTTAGGCATAATTGAGTGAGTATACAAGATGAAGCAATAAAATGAGCTAGTTGCAATCCTCTTTCATTTCTTATGCAGCCTCATAGGATGTAAAACTTTCTTTGAGATTTAGAACCTATGATTTTTAGCTCATCTGGTTTCCTTTGGGACATTCACTGATTGACTAAACTTAGTTAGCACTGTCATGTTCTAGGTTACGGATAAAGCTTTACTGCATGAAGTTATGAACGGCTCCATTTCTAACAAGGACAGCAGAGTCAAAGATGATGGATATATCTACATGGTTCTTGAGTATGGAGAAATTGATTTGGCTCATATGTTATCTCATAAGTGGAGGGAAATTGAAGGCACCAACTCAACTATGGATCAAAACTGGCTTCGTTTCTACTGGCAGGTTTGTGATCCCATTCTTGGTTTAATAAGCCTTGACAGGATTTGCTTTTTAATGCAGAATGAATTTCTAATTTCTGCTAATCAGTGGTAAATTAAAATTAAATTTAGTGTAAAACAGTATCATCCTATTGTCCGTGATAATGCCACCACATATAGTATTGGGTGATGATTTGAAATTTAATTTGAAGAAAAGATAAAATTTGGGGGTAAGCTAGCATTACCATGACATTGGCATAATACTTTCCTTTCAAATTTACTTACACATTCATTCTCATTACTACTTTACTATTGAATCATTTTCATTTTTAAAAAGTAGTTGAGCAGTGATCATACTGTCCAACTTGCTTATAACAAATCCATTTCACCAATAGATAGATCACATCTCCATACTGGAGTAGTTTGAAACAAAAATTAATGAAAATAGCGCACTAACTTTTCTTTTTTTTTATTTTTTGTGTGTCAATTATGATGTCAGCAAATACTCCAAGCTGTAAACACAATTCATGAGGAGCGTATAGTGCACTCTGACCTGAAGCCAGCCAATTTTCTCCTTGTCAAAGGTTCATTGAAGCTCATTGATTTTGGCATTGCTAAAGCTATAATGAGTGATACAACCAACATCCAAAGGGACGCCCAGGTTTTTAACTTCCTCCACCCAGTATTTTTAATGGTTTTGTTGTAAACTCTAAAACTGGAATTGAGGTCAGTGCTCAGATACCATCTATTGTTCATGCAGGTAGGTACATTGAGTTACATGTCACCAGAGGCATTCATGTGCAATGAGATTGATGCAAATGGAAATACTATTAAGTGTGGGCGCCCATCAGACATATGGTCTCTTGGTTGCATTCTTTATCAAATGGTTTATGGAAGGACACCCTTTTCAGAATACAAGGCATTCTGGGCCAAGTTCAAAGTAATCACTGATCCCAGTCATGAAATCACATACGGTCCAGTTTCCAATCCTTGGCTTCTGGATCTTATGAAGAAGTGCCTTGCATGGGACCGCAACGAAAGATGGAGAATTCCTGAGCTTCTTGAGCACCCATTTCTTGTTCCTCCTATACATCAGCAGTTGCCCCCTGCACTAGAGCAAAACTGTAAATTTATTCAGCTGATCACTGAATCTTGTGCGAATGATGACAAAGTCCCAAGTCTTTGTTCTGAGCTCCAACAGTTACTAGAAGATCCAACTGCCACATCTCGAGATCATCAATTTAAAATACTATCACATATTTCAAGCATCTGTCAGCAACTCCAGCAGCACCTTACAAAGACGAGCTAGTCTATATGTAGAAGAGGAATGTACAGTAGCAACATTTCTGCTAAGCATTTTGAATCATGTTCTCTTCTAACATAACATGTTTTGTGAATAAGTAACGATTTTAAAAAGTTGTCATGGTGCTTTTCAACACTGGTTGAGTTTTGATTTATGATTGTTGTACAATCCTGTAATCTCCATGAAATGAATGTAGCTCCTATTTGTTTTAACTATAAGAAATTTAGAATGAAAATTTGTGCTGAAAATATTTTCTTTTTCGGATTGGTTTGTGTCTTCTCTAAAAAGTACTGCAAATAATATTAAATCAATTTTTTAAAGATCCATTTACATAATTAAATTTCCAAATTATTTATGAGGCTGATAGTGACGTTACAGCCTTAAAGGTGGAGCAAAACAATGCAAAATTCAGAACCCTTTTTGGGTTAGATCCCAACTGCCTGTACAGAATTACAGATTCTCAAGAACAAAAGTTTTTGCAATTATCGAGCACTAAATAAAAGAATCCAATATTCTTAGTAGGCAAGCGTTGTACTAATCTATGTAGTGGAGACACATTCAGTCTTCGACAAGGGGTTTAAGTTTGAAAGAGGCTTCAGCACGGGCTTCCTCTAGCTTGTAAAGCAGCTCCTTCATAAATGGCGTATTTGTCCCATGGGTCAGTCGCAAAATATCCAGTGCCTTGGTTAATGATCTAACACAATTTGCAGTCTCCCCAAGTAACCTGTATGCACATAGCCTTTCTCAATTAAGGGTACAAAAGATAAGGCAATCTATCTCGGAAGAGCATAACCTCTTGAACACAAATTGCTTAACTGCAAGAGCCCATATTCAGATATTCTTACCATTCAAGCTTTCCACATGTATAATATTGCAACCCAAGCATAGGATGACAACTAGGGTAAACCTCTGCAGGACAATCACCGGGAAAGTTTGAGATCATTAGTCCCAAATAAAAATAAAAAGGGGGAGGGGGTTGGGGCGGTAAACAGTAGGGATTTTGAGGCCTACTTTCATACACAGGAATAGTCAATCTGCAATAATCCAGCGCACCCTTCCAGTTTTTCAGCTCCATATATATCTGATATTGAGAAAATACATTGGGGAGTTGCACATTAAAATCATCAAAAGTTTACTGTCATAGTTAGTTCAAGTTTTCTGATTTCTGTTAGGGCTTTGTGAGTCTTCTGGAGCTCCAATGTCTCCACTATGTGTTTGTGTTAGTCCTCTTTGAGTTTAATCTTATCAATGCAACAATTGTTTATTTATGCTGAACTAGATAATATTGCAAGGAGATATAATATACAAGATCAAGATATACCTTTAAGAGATTATCTCGTGTGCGCATTAGATTAAGAGATAATGGATGGCATAATTTTAATTGCAACCTTTCAACTGTCTTATACAAAGAACCAGCTTCTTCATAATCTGAACTCTGTCAAAGAACCACCTCCATTTGGACGTAACAAAATGAAAAATAATTCCTTTTTTTTTTGGGGGGGGGGGGGGTTATAAAGCAACAAATCAACATATACAACAGGATGCCATAAAAACCTAGCCTAATTTACCAGTTTTTTTTAAAAAAAAAAAAAATACTAGAAAGGATACTTCCTGATTTGAGGGAAATCTCTGCCTTTTCAGAAAGAGTTTTCACTTCGCTTGCAATCTTTTTAATATCTTCCAGTTTCCTCACATGGCCACATTGTTGACATATGAACGCCTTGTTATCTACATATTAGAAAATGATAACTAATGTTAGGCACCCAAATAATGTTCACGAATTTTCTAAAAAAACGTATTTACCTGAATCCCTGAGCAAAAATCCCATGCATGCATTGTTGTCACATCCATAACCCTCCAATATAGCACTTTCTCGAATATCTTCGCATTGCCCCTTTGATATGATGCAATGGGTCAATGTTAAACAGCAGAAAGTAACAAGCTTCCATCATAAGCTTCAGAGTGATAAATACAAAATGACATAATTTGAGGCACTTACTAATATAATGCAACGAGGACATGAGCAGCTGAAAAAATACTGTTCTTTTAGAGCCTTTTGTCGAGTCATGGTGCTTCCAGCAGTTTCTATGTAACTTATTAGTACCTTCAAGAGCACCAAAAGACAACAATCAGACTTCAATTGTTCAACATGTACCCTCGTCACTTCGCTTTTCCCCTTTATTATTATTATTATTATTTAGAGAGAGAGAGAGAGAGAGAGGGGGGGGGGGGATAGGGCTCAGCTTTCATTACAGATGGAATGGCCGGATGGATACAAGCATAATTTGTGTAATACTGCACCTATTCTCACACTATTCAAAGTAATTGCTGTATGCAAAAATGTAAAAGTGCTAATCAAATAATATTTTGTTACCTCAGTACCTTTAGGTATAGGTTGCACCGCACGAACCACGGCTTGTTTTCCCTCAAACATCAATACTGCATTTGGCAAACAACTGAAGTACTATAACCAATGAGCCCTTGCAGTTCCAGAGATTGAACAAACAACAGGAAAAAAAAAAAAGTAGCCAAATTACCTGTGATTGATGATAGATATAACAGGATATAGTCCTATACCCAGAGGTCTAAGTTCTGAATCGCATATACTATGTACATTGCAAGCAAGCTGCGACAACATAGAACAATGAGTATATGAGAGCCAGGTCCAAACTCAAATTTGAGAATTTTCTAGTAACAAAGAATTGAAGTATCTCTTATGAAGTATGAATTATAATAACCTATTTAACCTCACTTGGAATCTGATAAAGCTAGCATATGCTTTAGTGATACATGGATAGAATTATAGAAACATAATTACATAGATTTTTTTTGTTAAAGATGTTTTAGGTTGAACAAGGATCAAGCTAATGTCATAATAAATCAGCGATAAATTTTGCATAGATTGGCTGGCAAACGGCTGGAAGTCTAAGCTCTATCAAGTATCAAATCAAGAAATCAATGTCAGAGCACATCCAGGGCAACGCATACATTTCAACGATTAAATTTAGCCAATTGCAAGTTTTAACAGAAAACCTTGGAAAAGTTCTCTGCAACTTCTTTCAGTTTCAGGCTAGGCCACTTAAGTATCACACCAACAAGATTGGCCATCTGTGCATATAAAACCAGCTGCTTCTCATCAATCTCAGACATATCTTCAAGGAAATATGGTTAAGCAAAACAACAAAGGTGAGTAAGATTTTGTCAAGAAGAGGTTGGGTTGATAAAACTGAAGTACCCATGAATTCCAGCTCTTTTTCTCAGTCAATAATTACTGTACTTCCTAGACCCGAAAATCCCATCCCAAACAGTCTCTCCTTTCCCAGTCACAAGAACCCCCCCCCCCCTCCCTACTCAAAAAATAAAAATAAAAAAGGGTTCCACACATTTTGTGGAGGATACGAGATACTAATGCCTCCACCAAGTTGTAGTTATCAGTCACAGTAGTTGGTATAACCTGCCAAAACAAAACGCATGAGTTATTAATTTAAATTCAGAAAATATATTCTTTCATAACAGGATAAGTTGGTTGGCTTGCTAGATAATTAAATATGAGAACTGAGGACTTCCCACATCAAACAATTGACATAGAATCTAAATCATGACAATTAGTGCCAGGACAGCAAGTGAAGTAAGGAGAAAGAACAAGGTACACTGAACAAGAACAACCATTTTTTTTTTTACACGAGAACAAGAACAACCGTAATAAGGAATATGAGTATACGTTTGCAGGTATTATTTCAAGAATTTCATTACAGAGTATATTTTATAATATCATGGAGGTATGCAAGATACTCAACCTTTTCATCCTGCAGCTTTTTTCTCAAGTAAAGCTTAACCATCAAGCGTATAGAGGGTGTGAGGTACTTTAGCCTTTCCTTTTCAAGCTTTGAGAGTGCCTGGCATTCAACACGATGGAACATCCAATCTGATTTCTGGCAAGGGAACAAACAAAAACATAAATTTGAGCATGGATTTGGCTGAGATGATGCGCATATATAAAAATTAAAAAAAAAAAAAAAAAAAAAAAAACCCATTTGTAGATGAACTTTAGCCCAAAATCAGGTGCAAGTTGATATCACTAATACCAATATTTGTTATCTATTACAATCCATGCAGTAAAAGTAAAAGTATAATGAAAATACTCCGTACCTGGCAAGTACTCCCACAATACGACACAAAGTGACAAGCAGAGCAGTTCTTGAGTTTGCCAGAAGAAAAACAGACTTCACATCCAGAGGCACCGGACAAGTCTTTTGGGACAGAAACATAAGGTTGTTGACTTATGACAATCTCGCCTGCAGGAGGCGCATGGTGAAGAGACAACACATCCCACCCTTTGTTATCCGTTGATCATGAAAAATAACAGGTGATTGGAATTTTGTTTGCGTACCAAATTAAGATTATGTCTTTAAAAGAGAAAGAATTGGAACAAAACATGAATTTTTTGAATACTTAGTGACACCAAAGATGAATCATCAAAAGCTAAGTAATAGTAATATGAGTAAGAATGTTTGGGTAATTTTGACAAACACCTTACCTGCATTCCCAGCTAAGAGTATAAAAGGAAAGTGGAGACAGTTTGGGGTTTGTTGCAGCAGTTTGAGTAATTAATAGGTAAAATTAAATCCAATAATTAATTGATAAAATTTAAACATGACGATGATTCTAGCAATTAGCAAAGCAATGAAAAAATATCCTTGAAAATTAAAAAGGAAGAAAAAGAGAACCTGGAGAAAATTTCCTGGCAGTGAAAAGACAACGTCCTTTCTCCGGCGAAACTGAAACGGAAAGCCCTATTTCCGATAGATAGCTCTGCAACTCCTCCTCCATAGTCTATGAATCTACACATCAATTAATACACATGTCATGGAATAGCAGTGGCAGATCCAGGAATGTGGGGGTAGGGTGTGAAAAATTCGGCTTGTCAAAATATGAAATTAAGCTGACTAACTAAATTTCAATTTTTTTTTATTTTTTTTATTTTTTTCACCATCTTATATATTATTCATTGAATGTATTACTTGACTAAAATAGAACTAATACTCCTTCTTACAATAATACAATGTAATACTTCATAATTTAAGGTCATACACTTACACTTTTATAAAACTTTTGGACATATAAATATACTTGTATTAATTTAAAGTATAACTTATACATTACACTTACTTTAATACCTTGTCACAATCTAATACGTGAGTACACAAATTGAGGCATACTAACATAAAAGTATATTGATTGCCCTAATTATAATTTAGAACTAATAATGCGCAAACTCTTATTTTAATTTTATATAATGAGAAATCATTTGACAATCATATAATATTAACAATATATATGAAATATCAAGTAAGATATTATATTATTATTTATAATAATTGATATTTGAGGGTAGTATTATATGTTCAAGTATTGAATTTAAAAGAAGCATTGTACTTAATATAAACTCTAGAAGTGTATCGGTAGAAGTAAAGGAAAAAAAATCGAGAAGACAAAAAAAAGTTATTACTATGATTAATACAAAGTGTTTTTTTTTTATATATATATTTATTTATTTATTAAGATTTGATTTAAGTATTTGAATGAAAAAGAAAAAAAAAAAAAAAAAAAAAAAAGAAAGAAAGAAATAAGGAAAAAAAAAACCGCAAAGCAAATACGAAGTATTAACAGTAAATAGGGATTTTGGTAAAGTGAACAAAAGAGAACTGTTATTCAAGATTCAAGTAGGTGGTCTCTTTTCTTTTCCCTCTACAACATGGCGCGTCAGACTGTTGTTCATTTTAAGTTTTTAACTTAGGCGAGTTCGAGCTCGATCCCGAGCTTTCAAGCGAGCTCAAATTTATGTTCAACCTCGGCTCATTTCATACACTATATGTTCACGAACGGTTCGTGAACAACTCGTTTAATTAACGAGTCTTTCATGAACGAACTTAATAATAAAAGCTTCTCCAATAAATAAGTTTTGTACTTTTGATATTTGAAATTTTCAAAATAAGCAAATTATTGAATGTTAATTATAAATTTAATAACTAAATCAACAATTATCAATAAATCAATAATTCATGAACATAAATAAAATGAGTAGAACATAAATAAATGGGTATTCATTGACATAAATAAACCAGTTGTTCATGAAGTTATCTGAACGAGCATATTTATGTTCGTGTTCAAGATCATTTATTAAACGAGCTACAAGATTTGTTCAAGCTCGGCTCATTTATTAAATAAACGTACATGAACGAGCTTCAACCGAATAACTAAATCAACAGTTGTCAATAAATCAATAATTCATGAACATAAATAAATGAGTAGAACATAAATAAATGAGTAGTTCATTGACATAAATAAACCAATTGTTCATGAAGTTATCTGAACGAGCATATCTATGTTCGTGTTCAAGCTCATTTATTAAACGAGCTACAAGATTTGTTCAAGCTCGGCTCATTTATTAAATAAACGTACATGACCGAGCTTCAACCGAGCCCGAACACAAGTAGTTTATTGATCGCCTTGGTTCATTTACACCCCTACTTCCAACTATCTTCTCTTATCTTGTTGAGATAAAAATTAATCACATGAGCGCATTCACCCCTTACTGCTTCACCCTTCTGTAAAATCTTAATACACGCAAGATTATCTAATTGAATCTCCAATTGATCAATCTGTAGGCTAAGAGCTAACTCAATGCCACGCGCAAGTGCCATTATCTCAACTATAAAAGCATTACAATGCCCAAAATTTGCGTGAAACGCTGTCACAAAGTATCCTAGATGGTCACGAATTATACCACCTCCCCCTGCCGCTCCTGGACTTCCCTTCGAAGCCCCATCACAATTCAATGTAGACCAGCCAAAATCTACAGCAAGCCACGCAACATCGATGCTCTGCGTCCTGTGAGAGGTGATATGGCTATCATCACTATGCTCATCAAAGCTTCTCCTTGCTTCATCGAATCTTATTTGAAGGATAGCACAAATATCATTTGGAATTTCATCTTGTCTATTAAAAACATAACCATTCCTCTAACGCTAAATCCACCATAATGTAGTCCCAAAATAAGTCCAAACTAATAACCCGGGATTTTCCTAAGTGGCTAACAAGTTGATTCCTTACTGGTGGGAAAATCCTAAGTGGCACTTACCGTTTGTCCTTACCGTTTGTCCCACTTACCGTTTGTCCTTACTGACATTTATGACTTCATTTAATGGTCATATATGGTTCCAAACGGCATTATATGACCCTAAGATGTATTCCCTAGGGTCTCAACACGTTTCGCCACCGGCACCCGTAATTTCAAAAATTCCTCAAAAAGCATGGATAATAGCCTTCAATTTTGGAGTTTTTTTTGACTTTTTTTCTTTCGGAAATAAAATTTCCGAGATGTTTACCATGGTCCCTAATACCCTCGAGGAGTCCAACTGGGTGGGTGGAATCAACCAATTTCCCTTGAAACAGTCAATTTACCAATTCGCAACTTGCATCGATTTTGTGAACTCAAGCCTACCATGGACATTTATGAGATCATTTAATGGTCATATATGGTTCCAAACAACATTATATGACCTAAAATGTATCGCTTATGGTCTCAACACTTTTCGCCACCGGGCCCTATAACCTCAAAAATTCCTCAAAAAGGGTAGATAATATTCAATTTTGGAATTTTTTGACTTTTTTTTCGAACGGAAATAAAAATTGCCCAGATGTTTAATATGGTCCCTAATACCCTCCGGGAGTCCAATTAGGTGGGTGGAACCATCCAATTTGCCTTAAAACAGTCAATTTACCAATTCACAACTTGCACCGATTTTGTGAACTCAAGCCTACCATGGACATTTATGACATCATAAAATGGTCATATATGATTACAAACGGCATTATATGACCCTAAGATGTGTCCCCTTGGGTCTAAACACTTTTCGCCACCTACCCCAATAACCTCAAAAATTCCTCAAAAAGCGTAGATAATAGCCTTCAATTTTGGAACTTTTTGACCTTTTTTCGCGTGGAAATAAAAATTTCGAGATGTTTACTATGGTCCCTAATATCCTCCAGGAGTCCAATTGAGTGGGTGGAACCATCCAATTTGCCTTAAAACGATCAATTTACCAATTCGCAACTCTCACCGATTTTGTGAACTCAAGCCTACCAAAGACATTTAAGACATCATATAATGGTCATATATGGTTCCAAACGGCATTATATGACCCTAAGATGTATCCCCTAGGATCTTAACACTTTTAGCCACCGGGCCCCTTAACCTCAAAAATTCCTCAAAAAGCGTGGATAATAGCCTTCAATTTTGGAATTTTTTGACCTTTTTTTGCCCGGAAATAAAAATTGCCGATTTGTTTACCATGGTCCCTAATACACTCCGGGAGTACAAATAGGTGGGTGGAACCATCAAATTTGCCTTAAAACTGTCAATTTACCAATTCGCAACTTGCACCGAATTTGTGAACTCAAGCCTACCACAGACATTTATGACATCATACAATGGTTATATATGGTTCCAAACGGCATGATATGACCCTAAGATGTATCTCCTAGGGTCTTCACAATTTTTTGCACCAAGCCCATTAACCTCAAAAATTCCTCAAAAAGCATGGGTAATATAGCTTTCAATTTTGGAATTTTTTGACCTTTTTTCACCTGAAAATAAAAATTACCGACATGTTATAATGGTCTACAATACACTCCGGGAGTCCAATTGGGTGGGTGGAACCATCCAATTTGCCTTAAAACAATCAATTTACCAATTCGCAACTCTCACCGATTTTGTGAACTCAAGCCTACCACAGACATTTATGACATCATTTAATGGTCATATATGATTCCAAACTACATTATATGACCCTAAGATGTATTCCCTAGAGTCTCAACACTTTTCGCCACCGGACCCCGTAACCTCAAAAATTCCTCAAAAAGCGTGGATAATGAGCGCGGGGAAATTATGTCGTTGACTAACCTCCTCACGGCCAAACAAAATTTATTATAATCCTAAACTAACCCCTAAACAAGTCTAGTGGTAAGTTCGGAGTCGAACCACAAGGAACGGTAATGTTGGATTGTTCTCGATCTAATGCTTAAGCTACGCCGAAGTCGGTTTATGGATAGTGGACACTACAACTACACTAACACACATATAAAGATCAAGATATTACAAAGTCTACTAGGGGCAAAGATCCACTTTGAACAATTAACAAGTTAATGGGAATCAATTTGATAATCAATCATGCAAAGAAAGAATTAAAATGGGAATTAATTACCATCAAGAGCAATCTCTCAAATTCCTAGCCTAGATCCCTCATTGACTAGGTGCATAGAAGAAATTTACCCAAAATGCAATCAAATATATAAATTCTAATTCACAATCCCTTGTCAAACTAGAACTAACATGCAATTCAGTTTGCTATCTTGGGAGATCAATCCAATCTAAAACAAACAACATGCCATCATCAATTCAATCAATTTAATCACACAATTATCATCAAATTTATCTCAAATAACTCAATTAACCATAACAAAGCTTCACTCAACACCTAGTAGAAGGAAATCTACTCAAACATGATTAACAAAGAAATTAATAAAGCATAAAGAGAGAAGAGAGTAAGAAATGCTCATTGATATAAAATGGAGATCTTCAAATCATCAAATTCCTCCTTTGATTATCCAAAATCCATGAAAACCATTGTTTCTCTCACTTTCTCTCTCCAAAATTTGAGAGTTTCTCTCTCTAAAAACCTAAAACTACTGAAAATATGAAAATCTCTCCTCTAAAATGAGCAAAAAATCTATTTATAGCCCTTACTAAATTGCCTAGGAAGCTCCGCAAAAAGTCGAGCAGCGCGTAGAGGAGCGGGCGCTCCAAACTTTCTGCCAAACTTCAAAATTGCACACCCTGTGAGGAGCGGGCGTGCGGCCTTGAGAAGCGGGCGCTCCTGGCTGCGGACTGGGCAAACTGCTCAGCTTCAAATGAGCATATCTCCCACGTTTTACATCGGAATTGAGCATATGACCTGTCGTTGGAAAGCTCTCAAGATAAGCTTTCATCTCCGATTGGAATAGCCCCAAAATGTTTTGTAGATCAAAAGATATAGGCGTTTGAAGTATGATCTTTGCAAATCAAGTGCAC